GTTTTTTAGAAGGCAAACATATTTTCATAATATGTTTATGTCACTTCTGAGAGTGACAACCTGACACTTCAAACTGAACTACTTACTCAACAGTTTGAGATGCTCCCAAATATGTTTTAAAAACCAACAAATATGTATTAAAAGCAACTAAGGACTGAAACATATACTGCAGAAAAGTCTTTTAAGGAAATATGAGTATTCCAAATGCATAAGTTGCATTAAATGGCTACCTGGGATGTCACTTGATGCTGATCAAAGTATGAAAGGAGTTGAAGTTTGGTGAACACAGTCTCCAGCGTTGGAAATGCTTCCTGTTTGCTCTTCCTGGTTTTCTGTCCTTCATCTCCACCTACACAAACACACAGTAAACACATTAGCTTCATCTGAACAGAAACTCTTGGCTTTTTAAAGTTACTGTTTTTATTGGAACATATATACACATGAAAAAAGTACATAAACTTTATGAATTTATAAAAAGTAAATACACTCAGATGATGGAATTCAAACATAAAGTCATATATTGGAACCCCAGAAAGTGCATCGGCCCCTCCAGTCACTCTCCCCTCCCCAGGGAACAAGCTCCCAACTTCTCGCAGCTTAGATGGACACTGCCCACCTTGGAACTTGGTATGAACAGAACCATACAGTATATACATCTACTATCTGGCATCTTCCACTTAACTCTGTGTTTCTGAGATACATCTTGTTGTTGCAATTTTAATTTGTCCTAAAAACTGACAATTCCCACTTGTGTACACTATTCCAATGTTTGACTATACCACCATCTATATATCCATTATGGTGCATTGTTTCTAGATCTCGGCTACTAAGAGAAACACCTCCATGGACATTTCTAATGAACTGACTTTTGAAATAGAAAGATCTCAGCAATGAAGAGGGAAAAAATCACCCAGGCTCATTCTGCTATAATAAGAAGCTTATTATAGCATTCTGCTATAATAAGAAGATGCCAGATCCACTGGCATCTTCTTAAGAGACTTTCTATGAGAGTTTCTTCCAACAGCTTAGTTTGTAAAAAGAGGAAATTTATAAAATTCTGAACTTTTTAAGGGGTAGAAAAGAATGAAATTCCTCCACATTAATCAGAAAGTGTTTCACTTAATCAATTTAGGATAAAGAACTTTGAAAAAATTCCAATAAAATTTTTTTATAAATACTGCTATCCCAGAAGGACTCTTGTTCTTCTTAAGAATTTAAAAGATAACATCCAAAAAATAATTAGATCCTGTTTTTAAATATTTCTGAATATATGTATTTACAAAGACAAGTCCAGAAACAAAAAGGAAAGGGTGGACTGCATGATCTCTGACAAGGGCACTGCCCTCACACCTTTTTCTTCCCCTTTGCCCTGTTCTGCCTGACTCAGCCCCTGTCCCCTCTGGGAATCACCCACGTTGGGTCTGTGAGGATTTGTTTGTGTGTGGGTGCCTAATCCCTCGCATCATATTCGGAAAAGTTTAATTTCAGAGAACAAAGGCTTCACACCTCTATTAAAGACACAAGAAAGATTTCAATGAACCCAAACAGATTTTATTAATGACAAATGGTGTTAAAAAATAACACTAGAGGAAAAGATACTGTTCTTTCAATAATAAGCAATTATAGTTTAAGCCCTGAGTGCCTTCCTCCCAAATAAAAACCCAGTCTGTTTGGTATTCATTTCATACAACAAACAAATAAACAAACCCCCATACCAGAGTGCATCAGAACTAAAAGGTGCTGAGTAACATGAAGTATAAGACTGTGCTACTTTTATCAAATAACACCAACAATAATACAAAAATGAGAATTAGTAAGTTCCTTAAACCTACTTGTTTTTTTGATATATAATCTCAAAGTTACAAATTAAATGTGGAATTCTGCCTGCAAATGTAGCTGCTCATGTGTCATAAGCACGTTTAAAATATCCAAGTTTTGAATTTTTCATTTACTAACATCGCTCATCCAAGGCTGGAAGCTCACATCAACAGTGTTGGCTATAATGTGCTTTAAAACGGAAGTTAACATAATTATTTAGTCCTTCCTGGGACCCAAGCAGAAACACAAACAAAAATAACAGATATGAGGAAGTAGATCCATCAATGAGAATTCACAAATTCATGCTCTTTGTTTGTTTATACTAATACTCTATTTACTTACATAGAGCTGACTTCTTAAAATCTCTATAAAAAAGATACTATTGATTCTTGGAAATTTATATTCACTTTCAAAAAAAATATTAAAAAACAGTGGTGGTTGTCAATGTAATACTTTATTGTAATGATATTCACATAAGTCATAATTCAGATTTTCCTCATCTGTCTTATGTTAATTAGCTTTCACAGTAGATATTATTGTTCTTCAGTTACTTAATTTGTGTTGTCCTTTTCTTTTAATCGTTACTTGAATCCTTACTTGATGTTTTTATTGAATTTAGACAGAGAGAAAGGGAAAGACAGAAAAACCTTAATTGGTTGCCTCCTGTACAAACCCCAATCAAGAATTGAACCTGCAACCTAGGTATGTACCCTGACTGGGAATTGAACCTGCAACCTTTTGGTGCACAGCATGATGCTCCAACCAACTGAGTCACTGGGCCAGGACAAGGTTGTCCTTTTTTTGAAATCTTTAAATCCCACAAGTTTTGACCTTCTAGTTCAGTAAACTTCATTAATCTTTTCAAAAGATGCACCACTGGAAACCAAAGATGACAAATCAATGTAAATGTAAAACGTGGTTTGACCATCTTCAACTGGAAATGTCGTATAAGTTTTAGATTATAAATACTTCTCACTAAGGCCTGGCTGATGTGAGAACATTCCCAATGAAGTCCTCAAAATTGTATTTTTATGTGTAGCCAGAAATCAAATACATGCTTACACAAGCTTTGTTTTCCTGCCTTACCAATCCTCATCTTTACAAACGAAAGGGGCAAATTTCCATTAATCTGAAAGGTAGGTAGCTAGCTTCTCCTGGGCACACTAGGTTTTAAGGAGTGACTTAAAGATAAATTGTCAGAAGATAGGTCACTATACCACCAAATTAAGGTATTTCTGGTTGAGAAATTTTACCTAAAATGAGGGAAAGACAAAAATTCCCTTTGAAGATTCCTCTTCAAACTGGTGTTTCTATTACCAATATCCCAAGCCCAGCATACGGCAACGATTGCTTCTTGAGTTCATGAACAAGACTTGCCTATGTAAGAGGCTGATGCAAAGATAGCATAGACTACAGTCTGGCATGAAAAAACTCTGTGAAGGAAGGAAGTAGACTCAACAGAAAAAGATACCACATTGCTTCCTTCCTCTTCCCATCCCTCTCAGTTTCCCAAAACCCCAAAATTCCATAGGCTCTGGAAAGACTCTAAAAATTAATCTAGATTTTTAAAAAACTGTATTACTGAACCTTTTAAATGAGATAGTGTCCACCCCATTGTCAAGTAAACAAAAAAGTAGTTTCTATAGTCTTTACTCCCTACCTGCAGAGCTTCTAAATTCAACTTTCTAAGTGTGACCCATTTCCTCTTTTCTCTAAGACAGAGAAAAGATCAACAGTTTTTCTTAGAGCAGTTTTGTTCTTTTGAAGCTGAATAATGACCAGTCAAAACAACAACAGGGTTTCATTTCCCTTCCACACCTCATGGTTGTCCCCTGGGCCGCTGGTGTAGTACAAGGTCCTTCACTGGCAACAGGAGGAAGTTAGGGAACGTGATGCAAATCACAGGAGTGTGACTTTTCCATTTCAAGCAAGCCTTCTAAGGACTAACCTGCAATTCAGATGCCCTCAACGTCACATTCATAGTGAAATGAATGTTGCCCTAGTGCCTTTTTTCTGCCTCTGCCCCTCTACTGATAGAGAGGAGGGATGGCTATTTGTATTAATTGTATCTACGCTTTCCTGTAGCAAAGATCTAGCATGGACAAACTCGACTAATTTATCTAGGAATTCATCTGGCTAAAGTCCAAAGGGTTCCCTGTGCAGAGGTTCATAAAAGAGTATTATTTTTTACTGAACAACAAAGTAAAGTTTCTAGAGGTGGTTTAGACCATATGCAGGAAGTGTGCTGCTTGCACAGGGAAAATGCAAACTTTTTCCCCCTTTGTATTGTTTAAGTAATAGAGAAATAAACACCTCTGGTGGTAGTGCAGTATATATAATATCATATTTGAAATCATATGACTGCCTAATAACACACACAGATCTTAAAAAGATTAATTAGGCAAATATGAAGTGGATAATTACAAAATTTCAATTATGCAACGTGGTGACATAATACAAAGGCATAGCTTCACTGTAAAAACTGCAAAAAGCTGGGGGAAGGAGTATTCCAAGTAAAGGAGGCATCTGAGAGTAAAGACCTAATTGCATTGTTTACTTGAAATCATGTGGTGATATGAGGGGCCACTATTACCTACAATTATTCTTCTAAATAATGTAAGGAAAGATCAGCAACTACACTGTCATGGTTTTCAATATCGTGCAAATATGAGGACCCAGGGCAAACTACAAGATTGAAAAAAGATGGTAAGAAGAGAGGGGAAACTCTTCCAAAATAAGGGGTTTGCAATCCATCCTTTATACTGCATTTCTCACTACGGTAGAGAACTTAAGAAGTATTAAAAAAAAAGTAGAAAGTGAAAACTACCTACTTCTATCTATAGAACATGCGCTTTTAACAACCAGGATTACTATAAATGGAATGAAGGCCTTAAAACATCAATATGCTTATTCATATTTCAATGTGACAGTCATCCAGGAGAGGAAACAGTCAGGGGACAGTGCCATGTACCACTCTGATAAAGGCTGTGCTAAGAGGGAAGACGTGACAGCACAATGGAAGCGAACGAGTTTGGGCTCTTTACCTCCCGTCTCTGTGGTGCTCTTCTTATTTAGGATTTTCAAAATATCTTTGGTAATCTTCTTCAGCTGATGCCTGGCTTCATCACGCTCTTTGCCCACTCCGTAGAGAAGGATTGTGCGCTGGTTACATTCATGACTTGAAGACTCGTCCTGAAAACAGAAAATGCACTTTGAAAGCCTCGTCTGCTGCAGCAGGGCCACGTGCCCTGTTCATGAAGCACACTAACCACAGCATCTCCGGGCCGGCTTGAGGTGGTGGCACCCCGCCTGCCTTTCAATTCACCTCAACCTCCACTGGCAACACCCTCGTTTTTCCAGTTCGGAACTTGCTAAAGTTAAAAAAAAAAAAGTGTCTACTGGCCTGAAGTCTTAATAGAAGCAGTTGATGTGGGCGTACCCTACAGAGTAAGTTTTGACTATTGAAAAAATTTTCATTGTTTAAAATTTAGCATGGTGTTAATTTCACATCATATTTACATACTATTTGTATTGTTCCCTTATGGAAAATGTTATTTCTTAGTAAGTTTGGTTTTCTATGTACAGCATCATTAAATAGTTCATATTTAGAAAAAAGATCTTCCTAGGATCCCCAAGTACTTTTATAAAAAATGTTCCATTTACTCCCCACATGACTGTGTAAGATACACATATATGGTTATTTCCGAATGAGACCGTATGTAGTACATGGGCCCCATCTGGTCTGAGGTAGATAGCTGCAAACGCAAACGTGTTCTGTCCAACACCACCTTCCTCCTCTGGACCAGCGCCCCCGCCCTACCCACAGACAGTGAGTTCAAGCACTATTTCTCTCACATAGGGAGGGAAATTATTTAGTCACAGCAAAACAAAAACATGGACATCCTGCTAAACATATTCCTTAGGCAAAGTTAAATAACCCAGGGTCTATCCTCTCATACACCCGGTTTTGAAGTTTTCTGACTCTCTCTCTCGGATCTCATGCACTTCCATTTTCTTGGGATAATTCCCACCTGTTTCCTTCAGTCCATCCTCTTTGTTTCTACATGTTTGTCCATGGTGGGTGCTTCCTTCCCCTCCCTAACTGCACCCATTCCTCGGGAGCTTGCATGAGAGAAGAACATCTCCCAGGAAACACAAACTGCATTGTGGTCATAATGAGTAGTGGCTACAAAAAAAGAGCAAAATGCTTGAGACGTGGAAAAGTGCAGTGCTTCATTTGGAGCACTTCACACATGCATGCGTACGAAGTGACAACATGCTTCTGCCTGTTCTGTGTCTCTGTCACTTTCCTCTCAATCTCTCTGTCATTCTTTCTCTCTCGCACACTTGAATCCAAGGCACCACTTCTCCTTGCTCTGGTTCTTTTTTTATTATATTCTACCAGAAATCTACATTTGTACACCTTGCCACTCTATCTTGCTGCCCCATCCCCAAATAATTCTTGTTTCAGGCCTTCAAACTTGCCTCCTTAAAAAAAATAAGAAAAAACATCTAGGAACAAATTTCTCCCAGAAGCTGTTGTCCTTTAATATATACCCTGAGTATCCAAATCTCCCCCAAATTCTTCAAAGACCATAGGAAAAAGTCAACACAGGGAGTGACTCCTACACCTGGCTGCACATCTGAATGACCCAAGCTTCTTGTTAATTTCGTGTTTTTTTGTTGTTGTCACACAGAATTGCTGATGTGTTTCTTCTTTTGTCTGGTGGGATGTGTGCATATGAACCTTAAAAAGGGAACAGGAGGGCACTGAGACAACTGTTATAAACCCAGGCAATGCCCTGACTGGTGTGGCTCAGTGGATTGGGCATCACCCTGCACACTGAAAGGTCGAGGGTTCCATTCCCAGTCAGGGCACATGCCTGAGCTGTGGGCCAGGTCCCTAGTTAGGGGTGTACAGGTTATGGGTTTGTGAGCCGATCGATGTTTATCTGGCACATTGATGTTTCTCTCCCTCTCTTTCTCCCTCCCCACCCCTCTCAAAATAAATAAATAAAATTGTTCATACACAAAACCCAAGCAGTGACAGTCCTTTGCCCTGGGACTGTTTACAGGTAAGGTCTGTGTCATCAAATGCTTCTAGTGAAAACTTCTGTGTGAGGCATGATAGAAAGATGTTAGCAACAGAGTTTATAGAGTATCTAGTTACAGTAAGACAAGGCACTAGGAACCCTGAGAAAAAGGCAAGGATGACAGATACAGTTCCTTGTCCTCAAGGAGTGCAGATTCAGTGTCACATTGTAAAAGTAGTATTTGCAGAGCCAGAAGCCTAAGCGGTGATGGTGAGAGCAGGTGTCCTGGAAAGGTCGATGTGATCCTCACAAACAGGTGGGAGACTGGGGCTCTACAGGACACCAGTAACAGCCCATGCGCGGGGTCAGAGAGAGCTGTGACTGCATTCAAGTCCAGCTCTAGGGCCCCAGATAATGAACCTTTCTGAGCCTCAGACACTTCCTCTGAATAACAAGGTAACACCACCTGCTCTGTAGGTCTTTGTGAGAGTAACTGAGGTGAAGCATGTAAAATACTTAGTAGCACTCACTGCTGTCCATTCATATTCCTAGACTTCCCCTTCTCTCTTGCACGCACTCCATATTTACACTGCACCACATTACTCAACATTTTCTAAAGACGCTGGGCACTTCCCTCCTTTGCTGTTTCCCCTTCCGCCCCCTAAAATACTCTCAACAGCCCCAGTTTCACTTGTGGGAATGCTGTGAACAATTACAGCTTCAGGTCCCTCACTCCATCACCTCATGTTAGTGAAAGCCTTCACCATGGGAGGGGAAGAGAACCTTTGGTGCATGCATCACAGTATTATTCACTTATTTTCTAGGTATTTGTTTAATGTCTGTCTACCCCACTAGACTGTCCATTTTGTGAAGGGAATCCCAGGTATATTTTAGTCATATTTATATTCTTAATAGGCACTGATTAGGTACTTAACATTAGCTGATTATACAAAGTAATGAACAAATAACTGGATTCATGAAAGAACACATGACTAAAAGATTAGGGTAGAATGAAGATAAAAACAAAAACTAGTTTTGTAGGAAACTTAACTTTGTAAGTGTGACAAAGCTGAAGAGAAATGAGAAGCAAAGAGAAACAGTAAAAAACATTTGTAGGGTGTAAACTAGATCTTGGTGGGAATACAAAATAAAAAGCAAAATCCAGAGGTATTTGAATGAAGTTAGGAAAGCATCTGGGTGAATGTTTATCTCATTAGATTTCAAGATGTACTCCCAGACAAACTATGTTAGAAGAAAAAAAAGTGTAGGTAATAAGGGCAGTGAGCTCGTGAATTCACCTTTAGGTGAGAGGAATTCGAGGGGGAGGTACATGTGTTTTCTAAATATTTAGTGGGTGGTATGACACGGAGACCCATTCAGAGGTGACAGCTTAGGGATGAGAGCAATGTGTCACTGGGAGAGGAGTCAAAACCTCCAAATTCTCTTGAGGGAAGCAAAGAAGGCTGAGACCGTGAGGAGGATAAATAAGCCAATGATGCACACGAATTCTCCACAATCAGTAACAGCACCAGATAAGTCAGGGTCACAGATGTCAGGAAGGGGACGTCGAGCAAGGGGTGTCATCAAGAGTATCAAATGTAGTGAAGAAGTCAATGGATGTGCCTCTCTGGTGTGTTTATTTAAAGAACATGTGTGGACCTCAAAAGAGAAGTTTCTCTACAATGGTGGGGCTGAAAGCAGGAAACGAGCAGCTGAAGTAAGACCAGGTGGAGAAATACTCGAAGGTGAAGGAAGTGACCCACATTGACTCATAGTTGGGTATGAAGAACAGTCTGAAAGAGAAAGCTATATTAGGATAATCAGTGGCAGCCTCTTGTGTCAAAGCCATGCTCCACACAGTCTCCATAAAGGAAATCCAGAGTGGAGGGGTGATAACTAATAAAAGAGAGAGAACACAACAGTCTCTTGTCTGGCTTAACTTGGAAAAACAGGCACACCTTTCTACTTAACCAACAGGGTAGAAAGAAAATTGATAAAAACACAGAGAAATCCGTAGGTGGAGAACTGAGTGACATGAAGAAGCTTCTATCAGTTTGTTGGCCCTGATATGCGCCAGGAGCTGGGCTAGAAGCAAAGTCATGAGTGGAGAGTGAGGACAGAGTTAAAAAGAACCACCAGTTACCTCTGTATGGTGTAGGGGCAGTATTTGCTTCTGATAGTTAATATTTTTAGTAAAACTGTGATAGCCATTACCACTCTTCAAAATGGAAAGACAAAGACTTCTAAAAGCAACTCTTTTTCAATAGCCTACTACAGCGATTTTCAGCTGGTGTGCTGCAAGAATTTTTAAAACATGCAATACTTGACTAGTCAGGGGTACTGCACTCTTTTCCCTTAGATTGTCAAATTAAAAAATGACAATAGCCATATGGTGTGACTGAATCAAAATTGTACTTATTTTTTGTCAGACCAGCAAAAAAAGGTTTTTTCTTGGTGTGCCAAAGAATTTTAGTAATTAGTTTATGAGTGCCATGAGATGAAAAATGTTGCAAATCGCTGCTGGCCTATGAGATTGGTTTATGTCAACTTTCTGAACATGTAGAAAATATACATGTCTTCAAATACCAAGTTTTACTACATGAGAATTAAAACAACCTAAGAAAATAGGCCAAATATTTCCAAAGGTTATTGAAACAATTGGTTATTTAATTTAACTATTTGAAACAATTTTCACTTAAAAGATTTTAGTCACTTTCAGGGTCAGGTTATCGAAACACGTCATTGGCAGTCATCCTCCAATGAGAAAAGAATGTCTGAGAGGGTTCCCAGACAGGTGTGGTGTGAATTAAAACCAGAGGAAAGAGCTGGAGCTTTTCCTCTACCCTTCAAATCCTTATTCATAGCCCTCTGGGAATCTGCAAATACAAATCCTCAGTAAAGTATATGATTTAAGGATCCTGAATTAGTGTTCCTGTAAAATAATACATTAATTTGTTGAAAATAGTTATGCTTTTCCCCACAAGTCTTGTTTCAGCTCTAGACCTTAGAAACAATTCATAACCCCCCTTTAGAGTTTATAATTTGCTGTAAAGGCAAGTATGACTCCTGCTTTCTTGCAGGAAGTGCAGTCACTCATGGCATTCACCTCTCACTCCTCGGCCTCAGTGTGGAGTAGGGGGAGGTTGGGGGGTTGGATACAGGGAGACGGTGAAGATTTAGAGGCAACTGCATAGTAGTTATGAATGCAGGCTCTGGGATCACACAGCATGCGTTGGAATTGGGTCTCTAATTAATTCACTGCCTCCTTCCTCAGCTTCCCTCACCCAGAGAATAGAAATGATATGAATATCTACTTCAGAGAGTAGTTGAGATAACAAAATGAGTTAATTCATGATGATATAAGAAATCAACACTGGCTATTATTATTTTGAAGTATGCATAGCATAAAAGTTCTGTCAAAGTATAAGTTTCTGTCTCCAGTTCAATAAATAAGACCTTAGTTAATGACAATAGTCAAATTTTAAAATAAAAATAACTTAATACCTACTTTTCTAAGAGTTTAATATCAAATAAACACCTCTTGATGACTGACAGATCAAGATAATTAAGTAACCAAAATTTCCAAATAAAATGACTCAAATTCATAGATTGATTTAAAATTCTTAATGCAAACAAAACTCTTTTGTCAGTTAAATCAGTGGTCCTCAAAGTTAGTGTGTGTGAGTATCACATGGAAGGCTCATTAAAACACAGATGAAGGGTGCACCTAGAGTTTCTGACTCATTGGGACTTGGTTTCGTGCCCAAGAATGTGCATTTCCCATGACTTCCCGGGTGAAGCCTTGCTGCTGCTGTGCACATTGAGAACCACTGTCGAAGATTAAAAAATGCAGACACACACACACATACACACACAAAACTTAGAAGAAAGAAATAACCAAAACATATCTTCATAGCAAAGGCATCTACCCCAAAAGTTCTCTGGTAACAGGGGAGATTACAGTTAGAAGTGTGTATGTGTGTGTATGCACACACACAACATTGTACCGATGTACTATACATACATGAATCCCTGAATTTAATGATATATGGGTATTTCCCCCAAACCAAAAGCTAGGTCAAAAGGAAAACAAATTGTTTCTATGTAAATTCTGCTCAAGGAAAGCATGAACAATGCTTATATAATAAGTCTGGAAATGGATACAGCTGTTTTCTTTCTAATGTAATTTTGGAATCTTATAATTTATAATGGGAGGAAACTACTTCACCTACAAAAAGTTGATCAAACACAGATTTAAAATAATGACATTATTAAACAGGAAAAAAAAGCAAGGCACAAGAGACTTAACATCCCTAACAAGTACACATTTCAAGTTAATGTAATTACTTGTTACAACGTAATGTATCACCCAGGTTCAGCGCAGTATGTTTCAGGCAAAGCAAGCTCGCAACCTTTTCCAGGAAGCTGACTTCAAAAGGCTTGGATTTATCCTTTACAGAGAAAATAACCAAAAGAACTCATATGGCATCAACTATATGGCAGGTTTCAGTAAAAAAGCCACAAGATTTTAAATTGCTTTTCAAAAGATGACTCTTCACCCACCATGCCCCACACTTCCCAAGGAAATAAAAGCAGAAGTCATAAAAGGGGCCAAACGGAAATCCAGTGTCTGCATAGCTTTGTGTCCACAGCATTTGAAGGTAATCTCACATTGCGAACTCCTCTTTTTCTCTCTTGCTCTATTTCTCTCTAGAATCCTCAAGGCTTTACTGGTGAAAACCCAGCAAATTCTCTGTCATAAAGAGCTTTAAGAACTCAGCTAAGACATAAAAGAGGAAAATACCAGCTGCCACTCTGCAGGTTGAATTAACTACCACCTACTGGATACATTCTCATCCTTCAGAATCACCAGAGTGACCAGGTAACTTTATATCTAGAAGTATGTGACAAATATATGTATTTACACTACGATGCACATGGAAATTTTTTCAAGTTTTCTTAAAACTGAAAACCTTTAATAATATCAATGCAAGCACTTATTTGGAATAAAAATTAAAATATAAGCTCCAATAATGGTGTTAGAGATAACCATTAACTTCATTTAAAAATTTATACAGAGCAATGAAATAAAATACAATTGGTCTTATTTTACTTCGAGTATAAAATGAGATTTAAATATAGAGAGCTGAAATTCTTAATATCAAGAATACTTGTTAAATAAGTTATGATCTATGCAAAATGACTATTCTCAAAGTAGAATTTCCAAAACTATCGATGAATATACAACTAAAAGCCAGTAACAGTAGCAAGGAAGGTTACAATCAGTGATACTGTATCTATTATATACTGCTTTTGGTTTTTGTTTTAGGTTAAACAGGTGAGAAGTGAAGACATGTTGAAAATTGAAACCATAATTGCGACAACATGAATGTTAATCGTTTTACCTTCTGTAATTAAAAGATGGGAAAAAAATCCAATGACACTTGGGGAGGAGGATTTGGCTTTTACCTTTATTTGTCATATTTAAATCTTTCACATGAAAATTTTTTTAAAATTTAGAGATTTATATTTAACATTACTGTATGTTATATTTAGAAATAATATTTTATGAAGTCAATTCCATTGTTTTTGATGAAATAAAAATAATAGGAATTTCACTTTAAATTTCAAAATTTAGACACCAGAGAATGTATTCGGGTTAAGTGTTGGTTTTCTTTACAGCTGCCTGTTGGGGTATAAAAATCTACAGAACCAGACACGGACATGGTTTCAATATTTTATTTTAGCTACCATTCTATTGGGAGCTAAAGAATGAGTCCCTGTGAGGCTGATTTTTGAATGGATGACAGTAATATAAAGGTAGAAATATCCTTCAATTATAAAAGAAAATTTCCTGTCTGATTCAGTATTTTAGTTTTTTAATTCTAATAGACAATTACTAGTCATTTCTCTTTAGAACTCTTTAACGGTGCTACTAGAGCAAATGAAGTCCAGTAATAAGGATGGTGTGGGGAAAATGACAGTATATAGACAAAAAAGTTAAAAGCTAAGAACAAAGCAGAGACCTAATACTGCTCTCCTAGTTTTTATATAGAAATATTCGTGTGTATTTGCCTAAGACCAAAAATGTTCTGTGGGAGGCAAATACTCAACAAATAAGAAATACAAAGCATCCATGCCTTCAGGCAATTCAGACCATTTTACTTCGCTAGAGATAGACAGAATATTTGCCAGGATGAAATATTCTGGGATTCAGTTTTCTATGATCTTACTGGTTGCCACAAAGAAGATCAGAAACCTCAGTTTTTAAAGAAGGCTGTCCAGAAAATTACACACGGAGATAAGATCAAAATCAGCTATCTGGGACTGAAAATCACCATTCCCTCTCTCCCACTTCCAGGTATCGAAGAAGAAACGTAGCCATGGACAACCTCACCTTCGCAGCTGGGAACGGCAGCCTATGCACCAGAGATTACAAGATCACCCAGGTCCTCTTCCCACTCCTCTACACTGTCCTGTTTTTCGTGGGACTCATCACAAATAGCCTGGCAATGAGGATTTTTTTTCAAATCCGCAGTAAATCCAACTTCATTATTTTTCTTAAGAATACAGTCATTTCCGATCTTCTCATGATTCTGACTTTTCCCTTCAAAATCCTCAGCGATGCCAAACTGGGAACAGGACCACTGAGGACTTTTGTGTGCCAGGTGACCTCTGTTGTATTTTACTTCACAATGTACATCAGTATTTCATTCCTAGGCCTGATAACAATTGATCGCTACCAGAAGACCACCAGGCCATTCAAAACATCCAGCCCCAAAAATCTCTTGGGAGCTAAGATTCTCTCTGTTGTCATCTGGGCATTCATGTTCTTGCTCTCTTTGCCTAACATGATTCTAACCAACAAAAGACCGAGAGACAAGAATGTGAAAAAATGTTCTTTCTTCAAATCAGAGTTTGGTTTGGTCTGGCATGAAATAGTCAACTATATCTGTCAAGTTATTTTCTGGATTAATTTTTTAATTGTTATTGTATGTTATACACTCATTACAAACGAACTATACAGGTCATATGTAAGAACAAGGGGTGCAGGCAAAGTCCCCAAGAAAAAGGTGAACATCAAAGTTTTCATTATCATTGCTGTATTTTTTATTTGTTTCGTTCCCTTCCACTTTGCCCGGATCCCCTACACCCTCAGCCAGACACGGGACGTCTTTGACTGCTCTGCTGAGAACACCCTGTTCTACGTGAAAGAGAGCACTCTCTGGTTAACTTCCTTGAATGCATGCCTAGATCCATTCATCTATTTTTTCCTTTGCAAGTCCTTCAAAAGTTCCTTGATGAGTATGCTGAAGTGCCCCAATTCGGCAATATCTGCTCCACATGAAAACAGGAAAAAAGGACAAGATGGTGGGGACCCAAGTGAAGAGACTCCAATGTAAACAAATGGAGGTAATAGTTCAATCTAGTAGTGTTTGGAACTCCCACCAGGAAAACACTATGTAAAAATATTAATGCTGACTAAGAAGTAGCTGAGTTGATGACAATGACTCTTAAAATAATAGAAGACTACAAAAGTCATCTTAATTTACTTTTCCAGTATTAAAAGCTATCTTAAAATGTAGAAAAAAGAAATTAACATGTAGCGATGGAGCAAAATGAACTATATCCAATCACCATGTGACATGCAAAACTATACAGAATCCATGGAATGAAGAGTTTGTGCAAAATAGGTAACAATATAATACCTATTATAATTCTTTAAATACAATATTGATCACAATGTTATAATCAACTTACTATAGATACTCAACTGAAGAATAATAAATCTGATAAATCTTTAACCAAAAACTATACTTAAGATGTATATACAATCCTAGTCCCTAACCAAATACTGACCTATTGTGATAATCATAAAAATTTAAGTGGGACACACAAAGAATAGTAACTACTAACTTTTACTTATTAGCAAAGACCTAAGGGATTTATATTAATTGGAATGGTAATAGAGTGGACTGAATTTCTTTAAATGTTCATTAAAATAGAGGTTTAAAACCTACCTGTTCAATAAAAAGTGTAGAATAGCAAACAAAGCTATTAAAATAAGAATTCTAATAGAAAAAAATAATACTTCCTTAATACTAGAGAACACAGTTTTACTAATATTTTGACAACTCTAGTAATATAATGCCATCATTGACTTACCTTTATTAACTCGGTTCCGGAAACTACATACAACTCAGGTTAATACATATTTCCCGTAGTGAGAAAAATAAATATAAATATGCATTTGCATAGCATAACTATCAACAGGAAAGTGAACAAAATGTTTGTATTTATCCATTTGTTATCTGTGTGTATAACAAAAAATTACATTAAACTCTAAATCACACTTTGTTTGAAATTTTTTGTTCAAAGGTATTAGATACCATGATTCACTTCCTACTTACCCCTATGTTAATCATCAAACCCATTTAAGAAAGAAGAGCTAGCAACACTGTTTTATGAGACAACATTGGGAAAAGTCTCTTCTGAGGGTGCCATCTCACATCAATTACTTCACATGTAAATGAAAAACCAGGTCAGACTTAAAATGTAGTCTGATTCCACTCAAGCCATATTCATTATTTTTAATTTAAACATAATATGCAGCATACTTGGAATTTGACATCATTTATCTTAATTATTTTTCATCCTCAGAGATGATTCTCAAACAGAATGCATAGATCCCAATATCTAAATATAATTGAAGAAATTAAAGGGTGAATCGTAGTATAAGGAAGTTCACTGAACTTTAACAATAATGGATTTTATTCAAACACTCCACAAGTTCTGCTGAGCTAAATTTCAGTTCAAAATTGAACTCATTTGAACTCTCTAAATGGCACTTTTCTCAAGTTGCCACGCTTCCTTCTCTGGCCCTGCTAAGAGCAACCACTAGAAGTCAGCACAAGGGCATGTGTCCAACCCAAGGCATATTCTACGTAGCTCTGGGACAAGGGCAGCAGCTGTTTCTGCCGTGTAAACTACTGAAATTCACTTCCATGTCACATGCATAAGTGTGCATGTTCTGTAAGAATACGAGGGTATTTGAGCTGGAAGAGAAATGAAAGCTCAAATATCCGACCATCTTAATTTGTATATGGGAAAAATAAAGGGCAGAGCCACCACTCTACCCACTCAAGTTGGGGTAGAAAGTAGAATAAAGGTACCCACATCACAGTGCCAGGATCGAGTGAGGTGTTAAGAGACTACAGAGTGGGCAAAGACTTACCTGAATAATCTTTCATTTTGCCTTAAACTAACTCACTGAGACAACAACTTCCACGAGAGAAAGAAAAGAAAACCTGAAATGCTCAAGGTATGATGGTACCTCTACCAAAAAAACAAACAAACTGTAAATGTTTAGAACTACCTATGTTTTTATATATAGTATAAAAAATTTCACTATACTCTAAATCACACTTTGTCAGGAGTTCTTTATTCAAAGACGTTAAGAGAGTAGCATATACTCCTGTATCAAACATCAAACAGAACCCATTCAAGACAGACTGACAGATCAGTGTTTATGAAGTGCTCATTATATAGAGAACATGTCACTATCTCTAGCTTAGAAATTTTAATATATATAATACATCCCACATTTCACAATAACTTTTTTCTAAAAAACAGTGGAGCCCAATTTTGTAGACTGAGGTCCAAAAGATAAAAAGTTCAGAAATGAGGCAAACAAAATGTAGTCTTGCCCAAAGCCACTAAGGTCAAGAAATCCCAAGGACGCTGGTCACTGGCCATTTCTCTCGCTGCCTCCGCACACAAACCGTCCAAAGGCAGGTGTGGCAAACTAGAGCCTGCGGGCCCAACCCAGCCCATCACCTGTTTCTGTATAGCCCATGACCTAAGGATGGTTTTTACAGTTTTAAATGTTTATGAGGGTAAAAATCAGAAGAGTAAAAGCTTGTGTTTCATTAAAGTTATATGAAATTCAAGTTTCAGTGTCCATAATAAGGTTTTAATAGAGCACAGCCACACCTATCCAGGTTTTACCTATGGCTGGTTCCCTGCTACAACAACAGGGTTCAGTAACTGTGTAGGAGACTACAGAGGAAGTCCGAAACATTTACTAACTGGTTCTTTAGAAAAGAAGACTGACAACCCCTAACTAGAACTTTAAAAACAGGAAAAAAATCCCCACGCAGAACAGGAGAGCCCTGCCTCCATGCACCCAGGTGCTGCAGCAGCCGAGCACAGTGAACAAGTGCAGGTTCGAGGGGCTGATCTAGGCGATGTCGGCGGCCGGCAATGCCCACTGTGGGAACTAAACATGGGGAAGTGCGCTTACAGGTCAAAAGTAAAGAGAAACAAACAGCCTGACTTTTTAGAAAATGGAGAAAGCGCTTGAAAAAAAAATCAACCTGAAGGGAAAATACAAGTGGACAATAAAAATATAGAAAGATCTATATTACTAATAAGCAAATAATTTTATACTTTAATGGCATGACCCTTTTGTGCCTACACGTTTAGAATTGATGTAGAAGATTTTTAGTAACGGAGTTGTAGAATTCCACTCAGTGAGACCGTAAATTGGTACAACCTTTCTGGAAAGCTATTATTGGAAAACAGGCTTTCTACATTTTGATGCATATCTTTGATCCAGCATTCTGCTTCTAAGACATTTACTATAAATATGTTGGAACAAATGAACAAAAATATATGGATGTGTATGTGCTCTACAGTACTGTTTTTTAATGAGAAAAAAATGGGTAAAATGCCCATTAGTGACAACTATGATAACTTTATATATATATTTACATATATAATAACACTTTTTAAAAATTAGGTAAGTCATCATATACTGACATAGAATAAAACAAAGATCCAATATGTCAACAAATAAATATACATATGTATATTCCCATACCATTGACATGTATATGTAAGGGGGGTTTACTTTACTTTCAATTCTACTATACACATGTTTGTATTTGAACTCTTTAAACTTGTATAAATAAAAACATGAAACTGGACAGTCATATAAAAGTTTCAGATATGGTGAAACAATTGCTTGTTTCCAGTTATATATATAGACCTTCTAATATTGAATTTAATAACAGACACAGATTCCTTCATTTAACGTTAAATTGCATAATTTATTTTAGCTTATTATTACTGCTTTTGGCTGACTCAATATGGAATTTTTAAGACAATTTCATATAATCTGAGAAAGTACCGTGGTGTACTTTGATGGGAAGTAGAAGGCTCTTCTATGAGTTTAGGAGTTCCCATTTCGACTTTCATTCCGCGTGAAAGCAAATACTTCCTCATCTTTTCAGATACTATTAAGTATTTATACAGTATTGGTTACCACATCAACAGGAACCTTTAGAATGTTAACTCTGATCCAAAGGAAAATCCCAAAGGAGATTACAAATGGCAAGAGTAGCTTATTCACATTTCACAGGCTTCTGTTTCTAATTTTTATTCTACCTTCTTTGAGTCTCTCCTAATTATACTGCTTTGAACCAATTTGTTTTCAACATTATATCTTACTTCAAGGCAAGAAGTTTCACAAGTCCATTGACTTTATAGTTGATTGATTCTTCTCATTCATCAATCAGTTATACTCAGCTCAAAAACTCCAGAATTTGGTAAACAATTCTGTGTTCACCTTATCTTTGGCTTCTACAGCCAGGAGAGTAAGGCAGGTTCTGAGCATGGGCTCTAGAACCCACATGGTGTGGATCTGAAGTGGGCCTGGGTTGCATGATTTGGGGCAAACTGCCTAACTTCCGTACTTCTTTTTTCTCCTCTGTAAAATGGGACCCATCTCTGAGCACTGTTTTAGGAATGAAATAAGATCATATTATCACACAGAACAGCACAGCTAGTGTAGTTTTATAAATTTGGACTATATTCCCTTTGAGCCCAATAAGATTTTAAATGTTTAGTTTATTCCCATTTGGCAGGTACCTAATTTCTGGGACTTTTACTTACATCTTTGGTTCTCCCTTCCGGTCTTCCATGAGCTGTCTCCCCAGCTCTACGTGATATTCCATTTTTCCTTTAATTTCATTTAACAAAAAACAAAAAAAAACAAAAAAACAAACACTAACACCTACCATGCCACAGACATCATTCTCCACACGTGGTGAATGTTCACCCATTTTATCCCCTTAATAACACAATAAAGCAGATACTATTATTCATTTCCATGTAAAGAAGAGACAATGGTTTCATAGAGAGCATAAATAGCTTGCCCAGCGTCACAAGAAAAAAGGTAGAATAAGGAGCTGAACCCAGGCACTCGGGCTCCTGAGGCAGTGCTGCAGTCTGCTCTGCGGGGCAGCCTCTCAGAGACGCCAGCCATCAAGGGCAAAAGATCTCACTTGGCGGCTGTGGTGACTGTTCAGAACAAAGAGCTCACATGTATGAAGCATATGAACACATAACAATGAATGATTTGTTGAATATTTACTGTGATTAAACATTTTAAACTACCACACTTAAAAGAATACTTTTCTTTTAAAAGAATGGTATTCTCAAAGAATACCACTTGAGTTCCTCTTCTGAAAGTTTCCCACGCTTTGGCATTTTGAAATTTGAGCAAAACGTGATTTCCAGTTTTCATATTATGAAATTATCTTGTACAGCATTTCCCTTGTTTAAATCGAAACTGTTCCAAACCTTCATGTAAATAATGGATTTGGCTCCATCAGGAAACTTACACTTAATTATGCAGTTGTCAAATCCCTTCACTTAAAAAAATATAAAAATGTTTGCTTTTTATTCTCTATAGAAGCAAACAAAAAGATATATGTTTAAATTATATTCCATTACATTAATGAAATCCAGAATCTATATTTCCAAGAGTCAATCTGAGTCAAACACATATTTTTCAAGCTGTGTCACCAGTGAGTAGTTCCAACCAAAATTATCAGGAATCCATTGCCTCATATTTTAAAATGTCCAGTGGGTTACAGAATTTTATTCTCAGAATCCTAAGCCAAGTCATCAAAAACTTCTCCATCAGCCCAACCCCAGTCTACTCTAACTCTGTGGTAAAACTTGTAGCAAAAAGTATGAAGTGAAACTCACCATGGAGAACTCCACATTCCCTCATAAGATCTCTTAAATTTCCTCTTTCCCTTCACCTACCTGGCAAGACAATATTTCTGTCATAGATTTCAGCAATTACACTCTTTCGAACTTGAAGAGAAATTAAAGAAAAAATGTTATAGACCTTGGCCCAAGATTGATTGATGAAATTACTGAAATCTTAAGCACTTTGCATATAACATCAAGTACAGAAAAAGATTTCTAAAAATTATTTTCTAGTAAGTGAGAAGTATATGTTGATTTAAATCTGTAATTCATGGACCACTGCAGTGAGAACCTATCTCCCTATACTTCACATGTACCCCAGCACTGTTCTGGGCACTCATTTTATCCCCTCAGCAAGACTATAAGGTATACACTATTATTAAATTGATCACACAGATGAGGATACTGTGGCACAGGACCACTAAATTATTTGTCTATGATCTAGTACCCAATAATTGGTAGGGGTGGCATTCTGACTCCAAAAATCTGGGTCTATCAGCCCTTAATGCTTAGCAAATACACCATTTTCTCTCTCAGGGATTGAAAGACCAAAAGTCTCAGATAAATATTTACAGAAATAAACAAGGCACCATACTGAACACAAATTTTTGGAGAAAATACTCTACAAGGATGCAGCTAAGATTCTTCTGATTTTAGGTTCAACTCTTACACTTGGTTGTAATTTGGGGCCATTTCCTTTATCTTTCTGCCTCCTACTGCTGTATACAAAAGGCACTCAAAAATTTCATTGAACAAATAGGTAAAGAAGATTAAGTTGCAGGATAGTTACCACAGAAGAAAATATAAAGATTAATTGCAACTAATTTATGTAAGTCACAGTAGATTAACAGTATGTAAGTTTGAAATAACAGAGGTTTCTTATTAGAAAACCCTGCAAAGGTTTGAATGTGAGTAGATCCTGATGGCTGCCCTGACTGGTGTGGCTCAGTCGGCTGGGAGTTGTTCCACAGAGTGAAAGACGGCTGGTTCAATTCCCAGTCAGGGTGCCTGCCTGGGTTGCAGGTTTGGTCCCAAGCAGGTGTGTGTACCAGGGGAAACAGATTGATCTCTCTCTCTTTTTCCCTCCCTTCTCCTCTCTCTAAATAATAAATAAATACATACATACATCTTTAAAAAAAATAGAGAGATTCTGATGGCTAATGTTACACATGTGAAATGAGGAAGGAAACTGGGTATAAGAAAGCAGAAGGACATTTGCTTCACATGTTCTTCGTGGGCTGCTCTAATGACTGCCTCTGTCAGAAGACACTGAGCTGAGTATCCTCCCAAACAAGGTGAGTTTCCATTTTTACTGTCAGTGTGCTTGCTTATAAAAGGTAGACTATATTCTGGGGGAGAAATGCTTTAATAAGGTTAACATTCTAAAAACCATAGATTATAATCATAAAGAAATATATAACATACAGCAATCTGACACGAATTATTACCTCTTAGATGGGGTTTTGTTTTACAGCTAAGGAAAAAGTAGCAGTTGTGAATGGAGTAGAACCTGTTATTTGGATTTCATAATGGTGTGAAAGTAATGGTATTGTTACAAGTACCAAAAATGAATTACATACATTAAAAATCCTAGCCAGACACAACCTGTGCCTTCTCAACAGATCTATTGAATGTGATGATATTGATACATAAAGTGTCAATACGTTACAAATCTAAACTTTTTTTGTTTTTTTCTTGAAAGTAGCATTTTGAAATCACGAAAGCCTTCACTTTACTTTGTGCATGTGTTTATCTGTCACAGTGAGACTGGGAATCATGAACGCCACGGAGACGAAGGGCTTCAATGGGTCTGAGCGGTGCCCCAGAGACACGCGGATCACCCAGCTGGTGTTCCCAGCCACCTACACCATCGTTTTCCTCGCCGGCATCCTGCTGAACACTATGGCCCTGTGGGTGTTCATTCACATTCCCAGCTCCTCCACCTTCATTGTCTACCTCAAAAACACTTTGGTGGCTGACTTGATCATGACACTCATGCTTCCGTTTAAAATCCTCTCCGACTCCCACCTTGGACCCTGGCAGCTCAGAGCCTTTGTGTGCCGTTTCTCCTCCGTCATCTTTTACGAGACCATGTATGTGGGCATCATTCTGCTGGGCCTCATAGCCTTCGACAGATTCCTCAAGATCATCAGACCTTTTGGAAAATATTTTGTACAGAAGCCTGCTTTTGCAAAAATGGTCTCAACCCTTGTCTGGTTGCTTTTGTTCCTCATCTCTCTTCCAAACATGATCTTAAGCAACAAGGAAGCAACACCGTCATCTGTAAAAAAGTGTGCCTCCTTAAAGGGCCCTCTGGGGCTGAAATGGCATCAAGGGGTGAATTATATATCACAGTTCATTTTCTGGGCCGTTTTTGCCCTAATGCTTCTGTTTTACGTGGTGATTGCAAAGAAAGTATATGAGTCTTACAGAAAGTCGAAAAGTAAAGACAGCAAAAACAACAAAAAGCTGGAAGGTAAAGTATTTATTGTCGTGGCTGTCTTCTTTCTGTGTTTTGCTCCATTTCATTTTGCCAGAGTTCCATATACTCACAGTCAAACCAACAGTAAGACTGACTGTAGACTACAAAATCAACTGTTTATAGCTAAAGAAACAACTCTCTTCTTGGCAGCAACTAACATTTGTATGGATCCCTTAATATACATATTTTTATGTAAAAAATTCACAAGGCTATTACGTATGAGAGGAAGGAAGACTGCGGCATCAACCCAGGACAACCACAGTAGTCAGACAGACAATTTAACCCTAAGCTGATAACTTCGTCGTGGTTCACTTCCAATTTTGGACTAGATTTCAAAAAACCATTTATTTGGAAATTGCATTTAAGCAGTAAAAGGGGATTAAAATAAATGCTTTCTTACACTTTATCATCTTGATGTATGGAAAGGATTATTTAAACTTTCAATTTCACATAGATCTATTCATAAACAGAATGAAGGATCACTAAAGAACACAAGAGAATGTAAATGGGCATTACAGATCATCTTTTCAAGGACATTCACTTATATTTTAGAAAAGATTTATTGTGGATAAATATATAGTCCTTAAACATCCCCCTCCAAAATACCTTCTCACATTCTTTTACACACATAATCCAAACTGTAAAATAGGTAAACAATGTTACCTATTTTGTATTCGAATATTGTTGATGCTTGCTGATTTAAAAAAAAAAAAAAACACCTTGAAAGTCCTTTGGTGAAAGCTGAAAGCTCAGTGCTGAAAGACAGACTACTTGCAAAGTGCCTGGGGAGCCGCAGGTGGTTCAAGAGAGCTCTGAAAACCCAGATGAAGGAGAATCCCCTTAAAATTACAAAGAGCCTCTTCCACGCGAGCCCAGTGTGCCATAGGAAACACAAGCACTATTACTAAGCCACATAAAATACTGTACTATAATAATTTGCATACATGCCAAGTGTGTACAATTTAAGGGTAAGAATACTGTATTATTCTTCTTTAGAATTCTCGCTCTGCCCAGCAAATACTCTGATGGTGGTTGAATATGCCACCCACTCGGCAAAGCCTTCCTGGGCCACACCCTCTTTTCCTACCTTCCACCTCTGGTTAAAATAATTACTTCTCCCACTGTTAGGGTATGTGTTAGGGCCCTTACTGCAGATTTCCCTTTAAAACTAGTTTGCTATATTCTTGACTGCAAAGGTGGTTAGGAATCTCTAAGGAAAAACCACCTGTTTTGAAGACAAAAAACACGTCCTTTTTTCTTGGTAAATCCCACAATACTCCCCACAGATCTTGGGTTACAAATGTTTTAAATAGAATATGTCAATACTCTGCTATTCTTGCTACATATATAGAAAGGACTGCTGACCCACAACCAGCAACATCTATTCTGGGATATTTTTCAAAGGATGGAGCCCTACTTGTACTTATTAACCTCCATATTTTTCCCTGAGTACCTTTTGTGGTTCAAAAAAACTACACTCACTATCTGGTATTGTGGATGCTGGCTTACAACTTTTAGAGAATATGCCCCAAAGTAGTGCTCTCTAAATGTGCATCTAGCTCCAACATTATCATCGGAAGGTGAATCTCAGGTCTCTTTCTATGCCCTCAAGGCCCCCCATGGCCCTGGAACCTGCCTACCTTTCTGGCCTTATCTAACTGTTCTTCCATGCCTGGAACTTCACACTTGTCTATGAACTTGTAACTGTAGGAACAGGCCACACTCCTCTTTGTCCCTGTGCCACCACACAGGTAAATTTACCTCCAACTCACCAAGAAAACTTCACCCATCCCTGAAACCCTAGGCTGCCATCACCTAGTCCATGAAATCCCATCTGGTCAACCTCCTACCACCATCTCCAACCCAATCAGTCCCTCATCTGTAAAGCCTCAATTACTGTGCTTATCACACTACCTTGTAATTACTTGTTTGCACATGTACCTACTCTTTTAACAACCTACGTATACTTCTGAGGGCAGAGATTGTGCCTCCTTGTGCAATCAATAAATATTTAATAAATAAACCAAATTGGTTTTATTTTTACAGACTAGAAAAGCAAAAGAGAAGTCAATTCTCACTGATGCTTTTATTATCAAAGATGATACAAATATCTTGAAAGCGCAAGCTCTCTTCAGTTGCCCTCCTGTGGCATGTTGCAGGGGCCTGAAAAGTGAGGGTGTTCTCGGGTTCTCTGGTTGATGCTCCAAAGGAAGCAGCAGGATTGCTAAACAGTACATGGGTAGCTGGGGGCGCTAATGTCTACCAACGTTTCAGCTCTAAAGCTGTTGACAAAATGATTCGGCTATGTACTGTTGGCTTTAGTTAAGTAAAAACTGTAACTGCAGCATAACACAATCTCCAAAACTCTCCTTTCAGAAAGTACCTGTTACCAATGTCACTAAATCCACATGGTTTTTGCTGAGGACATTACATAACCATGAGTAGACTCTAATAACGTATTATAAATAACTGCATCTAAATAATGTATACAATTTTTACAAAGATCTTTCAAGATAAAATTTCAAGAGCAAACCTGTCCTCCATAAATACAAATATTGAATTCTATTTCAATAACATTATAATCAAAAGCAGAGTACCTGGTGTGTAGAATAAAATAATCTAATAAGAACTTAAAGACGAGGCATATGAAAGCCATCTTAAAATCACTCACAAAATGCTAAGCAACTATTTGGGAAGAACTTCCCAAAGTAGCAAACAGAAATACTAAACTCTAGAATCCTTTTAGAATGGGATGCTATAACATAGCCACTAACAACACCCAGAAGAGAACTAAAAAGTAGCTTTGATATAGTGTTGAATTTAGAGCACAATTAAGGACTTCTGTCAAAAGTTAACTGTAACTATTTTTACTGGATAAGGTCTTCTGAATATCCCTGGGGCCGGCGATGGGAGAAAGGGTGTTGCTCCATATAGAAGAATTCTTGAGAAACCAAGAAAAATTACTGTAAATGGGGGAAGAAGAGGCAGACAACCAGTGTGAACTTCCACATCATAGAAGTTAGATGACTTAATTAATAAAGTCATCATTAATTAGAATCTATAAAATAATTATTCCATCTTATTAAAAACATTATTTCATGTATTTCATATCCACCTAAAAGCAGTCCCTTCCATTACTTTCTAAAGTCTTCTATCTAAAAACGTCTGACCATCACCCCCAGATAAACTGTATTCCTCCAGCAAGTTAAAAGATCAGAGTTCACCCGACTTTTAACAGAACAAACTGTGCTCCCCCGCCCCAAGGAAGAACCCACACCCAGCAGTGTCTAATAGCTAAGGGATCACACAGTAAGGAAAGTGTGGAATTCACAAATCATTTAAAGTGCTCAGAAACAAAACTCAACATTTTTAATTTTACACGGAAACCAGATATAGGCAATACAAATATGGAACACTTGTGTTCCAACCAATAGTTCTCACACTTTGGTTAGTAACTAGCAGGAGGTATTCTTAAAAGACATGGCTAGGCCTAACCCCAGAGTTTCTGCTTCAGGAAGTCTAGGGGAACAGCTGAGGACAAGCTTCCAGAAGGTGCTGATGCTATCAACCTGGACCACAGGTTAAGAACCACTGTGACAAAATGTTCCTTGACGTTCATACTTCTATAAAGACTCATTCACAGCTCAACCATCCTGGACATGGACATCCAAAAGTGGGATGTCAACAGGAAACAAAACCATGACTAAGACGGTGTGGCAGACATAAGATGACAGGCCATGGCAAGGACTGTGGCTCCCTGAAAAGTTCATACCCCACTATGGGGGCATCTACTACTCAGTGCCAGCTGTTGGCACAGGGGTGATTTGGAGCCCAGGGTGTCTGACTAGCAGCAATAACAGTAGTAAAACAGTAGTAGCAGTAGTAGTAGTAGTAGTAGTAAAACAATAGCAACAACAAAGCAGCACATATTATCTACTTCTCACTGTGTACCAAGAGCTTTAACTACATCGTCCCATTTAATAATACCAGGAGCCCTACAAAGTGTTATTTTTATCTCCATTTTAGAGATAAGGAAGTTGAGAAACAGAGAGGTTAAGCAACTTGCATGGGATCACACAGCCTATAAATGGCATGGCTAGGGCTCCAATTCAGATTCTTGCTTCTGAGCCCATATTCTTAAACTCTATATATTTACAACCTCAGATCTTGTAATGTTCTCAAGAGAATTCATAAATTCAGCCTCTTATATTTCCCGTGATTTTCAAAACTTCTGTAGCCGCCCCCATATTCCCTGACCCCACAAAAACAATGTAATATTCATGTGTGAGCCATGACTAGTCCAGATGCTGCCAGCTAATTAGCCCTGACCTAGAAGTCACAAGAACCTCCCAGCACCTTACTCTGGCAGCTCACGCTTGGTTGCTGCATGCTTGCTATGTGGTGGGCACCATGCTCTGCACTTTACATGGATTACCACCTTTCTATTTTTCACTGCAACACAACAGATAGATACTATAGGGCCCCTGGTTAAGGGGGGACGGGGCGGGAAGAAAAGAAATCTGAGGACAAAGTGAAAGATAACTTGCCCATGGTGCACATGACCCCACCAGCACAGCAGAGGCAGAGCTGGGACTGAAAATGAGACCGGGGGCCTCAAGCTGAACACCTCAATGGCTCTGCCACACCAGCTCTCTGACAGTGAGGGCACGCCGAGTCCCTTAAGGGTTGGCATTGGGCCTAGCAGTGAGGATGGTAAGGAGGTGATTGCTGAAGTGAGAGGAAGAGGTCTGAACACAAATGAGCTTCAACAACCCCAGGGGTATGAGGAGTTCATGTGGACCCTATGAGTACTTTGGGGGCACCTTCGGCACTGAGAGTTCTTGAGAGGAGGAAAACCCCAAACAGTAGATTCATGCGTTCATTTGTCAGTCACTTCTTTGTCGTGCACCTGAGTGCAGACCCCTTGGTCTCTACAGAAATACATTCTGGTAAGGCACCCAGACCACAATGAGCCCAAATGTGGAAAGCAGTATGAGGGCCATAATTAACTCACCATGGAAGCTCAGAGGAAAGGGTAGCTAACTGCAACTAGAGAAACTGAGGAAGGGCTCATAGGAAATGGAAATGTAAACTGAACCTCAAAGGAGAAAACTGACCATTCAAAAGGGAACAGTGCAGTGCAAACAGCAGTTTGGAGGAAGGCTCAGGTCGGGCGAGCCTGGTGCTGTGGCTGGTGTGAGGGACACAGAGGGCCTGAGGCTGCAGTGTGTGAACGTGGAAGATGAGTCTGGGAATGGAGTGTAGGATCCTGGCACTGTGCAGACGTGCCTGCATGTCTCCATAAGCCACTGAAGGTTTCTAAAGTGAAAAATTACATCCTCCATCTGTGCTGCACTTTAACAGAATGAATTTGTCATCAATAGGATGATTCTGGATTGAGGAACA